TTGTCATTAGTGATTATCTCAATTTCGGCTAAAAGAATTGACAAAATCCTACACACTGTGCCTTTAAGTATTAAAAGTAAAAGTACTGAGTAAAAGTGAGCAGTTAGATTTTCCAAAATGACATTTATTGGGAGGTGACTTCTCAAAAAAATATTTTTCTAACGGTGTGCAGCTCTGATGGGTTGTGTACAAGCTAACAGGGTGTCAGAATGGTACATATTTATACTTCTCATCCAACCACAATTAAATTCACTCTATCCAGGAGACACAATTTATCAGGATAGTATTTTTTTAAGCAATAACAACTCGGAATAAAATACGAGTAACAGCTTTCTACTTCTTACCTTTTGAAAAAAATGTAGAGTAAAATGTACAGATAATTGTGTAAAAATGTAATGAATAAAAACTACGCTGAAAAAAATTACTCAAGTAAAGTACAGATACCCCAAAATTCTACTTAAGTATGGTAACAAATATTTGTAATTGTTACTTTACAACTCTGATTTTGCCCTTCCAACAATCTTAAGGACCCCTGATTTGTCATGGCTCTAAAAATAATCTTAGGAGAGCTTCCTGCCATGTGTAGTGAGTTAAAGTGATCTAGTCAGCTTGGAAGGACATCAGGACCGCTCCAACCTCAAATCAGGGATATTCAGCATGTTGGATTGTCTTGGCCTGATTGTGTGTGGTGTTCCCCAAGGACAAACAGCTCACAGCCTGTTGAATGTGACGTGTGAGACGATGTAAACACGGAGGAGAATCTAAAATACAAAAAGGCAAAACAACTGCCACGGTGCACCAGGTAGTCCGGTGGACCCTGGAGATGTCTTTTTGTTTTTCTCTGGTACAAACCGTTCACACAACAACTATCGCCATTGCTTTGTCCTCATCTGCCTCGTTTATTTCCTCTGAACACGTTTGATCTGGAGAGGATTTGCGAGATTTTCTGTCTGACATCTGAATGTTCATGAATGAAACCTGTTCCTGTTTAGGACACGGTAGGACCAAACCTGTTGTGTGGATGATATTCATGTGTGAGGTTTTGAAAATCAACTGACAATTTTAAAATCTTGCTGTGTGAACCAGGCATAACTATGGTTAGACAATTATCCATAAGTATCCTCATTACACAGGGATTAGACAATGAAAGTGAAACAGCTGGTTTTAGACCATAACATCCCTTTCAGACAGCTTCCTCTTGCGTCCACAGTTAATCCTGTTGGATGTGATTGGTCCTTCTTGGTGGTATACTGACATTACCCTGGATACCGTGGCTCTTGATGCATCACAAAGACTTGCTGTCTTGGTCACAGATGCACTAGCAACACGTGCACCATCAATTTGTCCTCTTTTGAACTCTGGTATGTCACCCATAATGTTGTGTGCATTGCAATATTTTGAGCCAAACTGTGCTCTTACCCTGCTAATTGACCCTTCACACTCTGCTCTTACTGGCAAGTAGGGGTCTCTGCGGACGACTGGGCGTGTCACAAGGAAAGGCGATTCTAAAGCGACACAACTGACTGGACAAGCAAAGAAGGGGCGATACCATACGGTACCACCTCATTGGACAAAAACAAAAGGGGCGTTACTGTACGGCATCACTTTTTCTGGAGACTCCTACTTGGGTCACATTTCTCCTGGTTAACCTTAGTGTTGGGTTCAGGGTCAGGCTGTAAAGAGATCAAGCAGGATCTAAGGCTACGTTCACACTGCAGGTCTTAATGCTCAGTTCTGATTTTTTTGAAAAAATCCGATCTTTTTGTGTGAACGTTCACATTACATTTTAAATGTGACCTGCATCAGACCCCTGTGTGAACGCTACACAGCACTGATGTGACACGCATTGCGCAGTAAAAGACGTGACGTCTCAGTCGGCTTGTTTGTTTACAGAGCTAGCATGGATGCTACATATTACAAATCGAATCAGAAGTTGTTGTTTAATCAGAGCCGATTAAATAATTATCTGACATGCTTCTTTAGTTCAGTGTTTATATCTGAATCTGCCTCTGACCGGGATGCTCCAGTGAA